TCTAGGGTAATTCCTACAGGCAAGGTTTATCTCCTCTTAGTAAAATAAAGTAAAGTTATTAATATTGCATTACCTTTTCTGAACTGCCTCAGAAAAGGGTATAGTTTCTTGACAACATCTAACAGAAGCTATACTTTCCTCTTGGACACCACATATACCCGTAAGGGATTCTCTGTGCTGTGTCATCGTTATAGTGTGAAAATTAAGAAGGCTTTCACTTATAACATTATCATTGATTACATTATTTAAACTATATTAAATATCAACATTTTTTTTCTATTCATTTTTTTCTATATTTATATACTTAATTATATATTTTGCTGCTATATATAAATACCATACTGAGATCAACTATAGATGTGTAAGGCATAATCATTTGATAGTAAATACATGAATAAGGTTATAGTTAACTAGAGTCTAACTCCATTGTCCTTTTTCTAATTTCATACTATACTCAAACTAGAAGTTGCAGAGTTGAATCTCTTGATATCATAATAGAATGACTGCTAATCAACTGGGTTACTAATGCTTAAACACAAAGGATTTATCTGCTATTGAAGTTCTCTAACCTAACAAGGAGTTATCAAGAGGAATCATTAAGTAGTGTTTTGAAATTAAAGTCTTAATTTAGGTAAAGACATGATATTGAAGATTTATTAGTGTTGAAGTAAATAAATAACAGATAGAAGTTGTTTTATTGCATATATTAGAGAATCTAGTTATCATGTAGTTATAAAAGCTCATCAAATTCTTCTTACTTATATCAAAAAAATAATAAATAATCATTTCTTTTATAAATAAAAACTTGTAAGCTATTTTGTTTTATTTTTTAATTGTTATATTATTATTTTTGCATATATATTTATTTTTCTTTATTGACTAATAAGAAATAAAAAAAATTATAAACTTCGAATCAGCAAACTGTTAAATAATGAGTGATGAATATTTGAATGATATGATGATAGAGTATAAAGGTATTAATATAGGAAAGTCAGAACTCAGTAGCACAGATAATTTAAACAGCAATGAAGAAGATTTACTACAGCCTTCTACATCATCACAAATTAGCAAGCATAATTTGGTTAAAAAAAAATATATATATTGAAAGACCAGGCAGTAGTTCTGTTAAAATTTTTTATAAAACAGTATTAATTAATAATGTAGAGTATTAGTCTTGTCACTACAAAGCATGTAATAAAATAAAATACTATAAGGACAGTTCTACTTCAAATTTATGATAGCATATGAGAAGTAAGCATCATATTTCGAAAGCTATGATAGAAAGTAGTAGAGTAAAAATCATAACAAAAGATAATAACAAATGTGAATTATTTGTGACAGCAGAATCCTCACAATTAACAATAGTATAATCATTTAATAAAATAAAAAAATATACATTTAATCATCCTAAACAAAAAAAGCTTGATAGTAATACTATAGTCTTTATTGTTAAGGATCTTCAGCCATTTTCGGTTCTTAAATCATAAGCATTTAAAAGAATAATAAAGGGACTTGATGCTTAAGCCAATGTATTTAGTATAGATTACTTAAAGGAATGTTTTATTAATAGTAAAGATAAAATTTTAAAAAAAGTTTATAAGTATGCAATTAATAATGCTGAAATTAGTAGTATCTCATTTACTACTAATATATAGACATTAGTTAATAGTGATCCATATATTGGACTTATGCTTCATTAAATAAATAATAATTTTCAAATAAAAGAAATAATCGATAACATTTTATATATTTCATATCCTCATATTGCTGAATGTCTTCTAAATAAAATAGTCGAAATTTTAGATAATTTTAATCTTAAAAATATAACTATTTGTGGTATAGTTGATGATAAATTCAATATTAAGTCATGTTTAGATAAATTAGAGCAAAGATATAGCATGTATAAAGTTTTTTGTTTTGGACATACTCTGCAGCTCACAATTAATAATGCACTAAATGAGTGTTCTGAGATTACAAATTTATTAAAAAAGTGTAAGAATATAGTATTACATTTTAGTGAAAGTTTAAAGCAAAAGCAATTTCTCTTAGAAGTGCAAATAGAAATGGAAGATTAGGATAGACTTCTTTCTGTAATTCGTGATGTTTCTACAAGATGGAATACAACATTCTATTTATTAAAATGGCTAACTGTTCTTAAATCTGCAATGTATAAGTATAAGTTACTTTTAGTTGAATCCAATGACAATAACTCACTAAAAAATTATAAAGAAAAAGAATTATTGTTTGATGATTGGAATAAAATAACTGAATTGGTTAAATTGTTGCATCCTTATGAGATCATTTCTAAAAAATTATTAGGTTCACAATATCCAACATTTTCACAAATGTGGTTTGTGATTAACTTTATTAAAGTTAAACTTGAGTATGCAATAACAAATAATGCTATTGTTCAAAAATTTAGAGACTCACTTTATAAATTAATTTAGGTATAACTTTTATTTATTTATTTATTTTATAGTTACTATTAACTATAATTATTATTAATTATTTTGGTTTTTTTTTAGGCATAATTTTTGAAACCATCAAAACCAATTCAGCTTGCTGCATTTTTTGACCTATGAACCAAAGATATGCCAATATTTACTGAAAATGAGAGAAGTCATACTATTTCAGAAGCCTATGCTGAATTTGAATTAATTTCAATACTTCTGAATTAAATATTTTATCACATACAAGTTTAACAGTATCTAGTAACAAAACAAATAATAAGGATATTTTGCTCTTTCAATAATCACCAGTTCTCAAGAGCAATCAATTCAACAGGATAGTGTTAATCATAAGTTTAATTCATATCTTTTATTACCAAAGGCACCAAGTAAAACAGACATATTATAGTAGTGGGTATTAAGAAAAAATGATTATTCAATACTTGCAAAGCTAGCTCACAAGTACTTAGCTATTCCAGCAACATCAGTACCATCTGAACACCTTTTTTCATCTGCAGGTTTTACTATTATTGAAAATCATATATGTCTTGATTTTCAGTTTGTTGAAACAATCTTATTTCTTAAAGCAGCCTTAAAACTCTGACCAGTTTTCTATATTTTTGAATAGGCAATAAAATTTTTTTAATTGTTGAATCTAATTAATTATTAATTTAAGTATATTATTAGAAATTAAATAGCAAGTAAATATTTTATTTAAGTAATAATAATTTTTGTAAAATTGGATAAATATGTAAATCAGTTGTTTTTAATATTAAAAATAATGTTAAAATATATACAAATTAATATGTAATATAATAAATTTTGACCAATTTGGGTTCTGACTGCATAGCAGGCTTTTGTCATGATTGGTCAATTTTTGTAGACTATTCTGTGGTATTATTAAGATTTTATATATAGGCAAAAATTTTCAATTTCATGATTATTTAAATTAAAATGATGAGATTAAATAGAATCTAAACCAATAAAATATTAAATATAATGTAATTACTGAGATTAAAAGTAATTATTTGATCAATGATCGTAAAATTACTTATGAATCACTTATAAATTGCTTATCAGTTTTTATATTCTATTTATAAGTAGTGCTTCAAACTGATTAGCTATGTAGAATATCTCAAAACTAATCTGAACCAGATTAATTTTAGATCATTTAGCAAAGCTGTTTATAAGTATCACAATATTATTACCTAATTTGCATTCCAACTAGTGATACAAGTAGATCATCCTAATGATTGCTATAACTTTTGCTGTAACTTACTGTAACTATCTCTGTAATATATAATGATTATCATAAGTTATAGCAAACATACTGTAACTTATAATAATTATTACATATTACAGAGATAGTTATAGCAAGTTATAGCAAAAGTTATGGCAATCATTAGGATGATCTACCTGTATACTAATTTTAACTAAAAATTTCTGCTCATATGATTAGTAATTGAAATTTTAAAGCTGCTTCATTAACAAGTTTATAGGCTGTTAGAATGATAGCTATTTAGAGTTTAAGGTGGCCTGTTGGACAGCAGTTACAAATAATATTCTATAGATAAAATAAAAAAATAAAAAAAAAGATACTAGTAAAGGCTACATAGTGTCATGGGGAGTTTTGACACGTAATAGCAATTATTATTATATTTAGTATAATTGTAAATAGCATAAAAATAGTCAAACTACTAGTAATAATTAATATTTGTAAAAACTATCAAGAATGTAAAGATGGAAAATATAGTAAAATTGGTTTATCATGTAAAAAATAGAAAATAAGAGAAATAAGTAAATAGTAGCAAGAGGAGTGTGGCGACCTAGTGAAGTGGTCAGGTTGTCAACCCCCCAAGTAGTAGGTTAGGTGTTCAAATCCAATCGATAGCGAAAAAATTTGGATAATCACCTATGTAATCTGGTATTACAGCAACTGTTCTTAACGATTGGGTTAAGATACCTGTAATTATGGTCACACCAGCATGACTGGCAGGTCATGGGGCATCTGTGTAACTTG